CATCTTTTTAAGTGGGAGAACTTGCACAATTGGTGGCTGACTAAATACTTCTTTGCCCCACTGTATGTCTTTTCTAGTTTCTCTTGATGTCACACCTCCTTAGATACATCCTGTAATTTTTTTAAGACAACCTGACCAAATATCTTCCTTAGATTCAGCCTCTTAGTTTGTTGAACACCAGTGAGAAACTTCAAAAGTTTGAGAGATGTTCTGGACTATCCTCTTGGCAGTCTTACCAGTTATACTTGGTAGCTCAAGACTGGAAAGTGGAGGACTGTCTCTCGAGAATAAAGGTACATCAAGGTAGAGCCCAACTAGTTGTTAGCGGGCTGTCCAGGATCACTAACGTGCCCCCAGATCATTCCCTTGATGCCCTTTAAGTTCCTTTCTCCACTTGAATTTTTACATTTAAAAGAACATTAATTAGAAAATGGAAAACTGGTGTTTGCAAAGCTAGCTTCCAGACTCTTTTTTATTTCTAAGAATGCCTCTGGGCCCCAAATGGGACTTAGTTACTTTTCCTTAGAAAATGACTACGGATTGTGCTTAGTGGAGGAGTCTGCCCAACTGCTCAGAAAGGCGAGAAAGTTGAGTAGTCCTAGAGTATCTCCTGCAGGAAGATAGGAGTGGATGATGGGTAGCATTCTGGTAAGCCAATGCTTTGCCATTGGTTCAGCCCTCCATGCCAGCCATTTGCCGAGGTCAGCCACCACCCCAGAACCATTTTGCGAGAGTTCCCTCAGCGGGTCTTTATAATTCCAAATGTGTTTGCTGGCTAAAACGACTCCTCCTAAGGACTGCACTAGTCTCCTAATCTGGAAAATGGATTCATCATCATCATCATCATCATTATTATTAGAATTCATCCTCTAACACCTCAGAGGAGAAAGGAAAGAAGACCAAAAGAAGGGCAAGGAGACGTAAAACTAAGAATGAAGCAAGGAAAAAAACAGAAGATTACTGTTTTCGCTGTGGGGACGGTGGCCAGCTTGTCCTGTGTGACAGGAAATCTTGCACCAAGGCTTATCATCTCTCTTGTCTTGATTTGGTAAAACGTCCTTTTGGTGAGTAAAAAGGAAACATTAAAATAAGTGCCAGGTTGTAACAATGATTTTGGGCCCCTGAGGATCATTATCCGAAATTCCAAGTTCAGCAGCAGTTTGTTTTCCTCTGCTCCCCCTTCAGGTTGTAAAGTTAAGAACTGAAGCTGGTGCTTGAAATGTCTAACAATCTCCAGCTGAATTGGTGCAAGGGAAAACAGTGAGAAGGGGAAGGTAGATGTTGCTTTGTTGATTTGACCAGGGAGAAGTTGTTTGACCCATTCTGGATGTGTGTATTCCTGCATGTCACCTACTCGAGAGGTGCTGGTGGGTATGGGGAAGGATGCCAGCTGTCATTCAGACAGGCCAGGCCCCAAGCACAACCAGCAGGCTCAAGGAAGCCATGTATCTTAGATCCCTCTGTACTGGGGAAAAGTAAGCTATTTTCAGGAGTTATTCCTTGAAATGACAAGCAGTAGATAATATAGAGGAAACCTGACTCCAAAGGTAAACCATACACTGCTAAGCTAATTGTAGTTTATTTGGCAGGGAGGAAAGGTCATTTAAGAGGCCCTCTCCAAGTGTGTGTGTGTGTGTGTTCAAATGCTTTTGGTTGTTTGCTTAATGAAATGCTTATTTTGTATTTTAAGCTGTTTTTAATCTGTTCTTGTGCACTACTTTGATATAGTCTTAGGGAGATAAAGAATGTGTAAATAGTTTAAATAATAAATTGGCTGCCTTTTTCCAGTTCATTAAGGTCGAAGGGAAGTATTTTAGCTGATGTGCGGACATTGAACCAAGATGATTGCAAATATTTCTGAGTTGACATGGTGTTCTTTTTTCATGGCAGGAAAATGGGAATGTCCTTGGCATCACTGTGATGTTTGTGGTAAACCCTCTGTTTCCTTCTGCCATTTCTGTCCCAATTCTTTTTGCAAGGACCATCAAGATGAGGTGGTGCTTGAATGTAACTTCAATGGACAGTTGTTTTGCTCCGACCACATTGGGGAGAACTTCACTGAGAAGAAAGTGAAAAGGCCTCCTAGAAAACTGATTTCAGTGAAATGTAAAAGACAAAGGAACAAATGGAAGAGGACATAATATTAAGAAGAACAAACTTCCAGTCCCGCTGCCAAGGTTGTCTTGTAAATAAGTTGTGAATAGGGTCAGGGAAGGACACACCTTTACATGTCTTGTGCAAGAACTGGGTTTGGGGGCAAATGATTTTTAATCCACTGAGCCAACCTGCAGCAGGGTTCTGCTGCATCTGCACTGATCATGAACTGTGGCATGCCAAGTTCAGACATTTCAGGACAAACTAAGTTTTCTCTCCAGGAATAATGAGAATACTTGAACTGTTAGGAGTGAAACAGTTCTTCCCCGGTACTTCCTAATCGGAGGTGTGTTGATTTTCAACCGATTACAGTGTATATGTACACTCATAGCTTTTGAAATAGTAGTCACCATTCCACAAATGTTTAAATAGAGGGTAAGAGAGACCATGATTAGCTTTTGAAGCCAAATGTTGTGAGGAGGTCCGCTTGACATGATTGCATTAAATAAGGGGGGGGGGATATCGTACCATTGCGAGGCACAGTGGTGCCACTTGGTCTCTTTCATACAGTAAATGTCTGTTTTGCTTTTGATTTTTTTTTATTGTAATAACATTCTATCAAGTAAGACGCTGAAGAAAAGGAAGCAGCACACCTCTCGAATCCGTGGCAGGCTCTGGAAGAAGAGTCCTCCAGTCAACTGCCTCGGCCAACTGTTTAGTTTCAAATAAGCGAAACAATACATTACCAGTGTCCACATTTAAATGGATATTAAAATCTGTGCCCAATTTTTAGATCGTATTTGCATAATAAAAGTATTTCAAAATCAAACCAAGTTATTTGAGGTCTCTTTAAAAAAGCAAGCAGAAATAAGTGTCCAAGTGATGTCAGAAACAAAATTAACTACAAGGTGGCCTTCGTGAGCAGCCTTCTCCCCCTTGTATTTTCTTCATGTCCTGGCTAGAGATGGGATTTGAAGCCCAGCACAAATAGATGTTTTTTTAAAACATACATTTCTTCATCAGTTGTTTCTAATAGAAGAACAGGGAAAGGATGCAGAGCAACGGTTCTGGTATTCTGCCCAGCCTCTCACCCAGCGATGACCAGTGTTTTGTGAGTGTGGGGTAGGCTGCATATCCTCCGCTGAGCACGCCAAGCTGCTACCAGTTGCTTCTCCTATCAGAACACATTCTGGGGATTTTTTTGTTAGGTCTTTTTCTCTGCAGTCCCTAGCTGGGTCCAGGCCATTTTTTAACTTTTTGGGGGGGGCAGCTTCTCCCCACGCACCAAATTTAGTCCCATTCTGTTCTGTTTTTGGAGAGTTACTGTAGAAGTAAGATTTAAATAGGATTGGGGGACAGAAAAGTCTTCACCTCAAACTATTTAAATCTTACACCGATTGAATCACTATGTCCATCTGATGATGTGAGACACTTTATGGAATCTGATGTTTCATAGAATGTGTCCATCTGAAAAGATGCTATGAAACTCTCCTAATTTTAGTTAGCATCCAAGGTAAGTAGGAAGATCCTCTTAGGAATCTAACTTTTCTCAGAGAGTAAGAATACGCTGTTTTCATAATGAAGAACCTAGATGTGTTGGGCTTTTTTTTTTTTTTAAACTTAAGGAGAAGTTATAAATAGGGGTGAGCTGTAAGACAGCCAGGTTTTTTATTGATACTAATTTAGGGATATTCACACTAAAAGGCTGTAAACTGGGCACTTTATTTTCATGGCAGATGAGAAAATCATATATGGTCCTAGTTTGGGTTAATGCATCACATAACTTTATACTAATGCTAGGATATAGTAATTAAATAGTAAAGATGCAGGAAAAAACTGCAATTATCAGGGTCTGGAGGAACTCTGAAGAATGCTAACAATGGGGCTTGTAACTTGGGGACAATAGAGGTGGATAACATTAGGTTTAAGGCAGAGAGGTTGTTAGGGCTTCATAAAAGCTGCAAACCCAAGGCATTTGGCTGGTCACTAAACAATGCCGGACTGAAATGGACCTTTGGTTAGAAGATGGTTCCCCTTCTCCCCCCTTGAATTTTTGTATACACATTTTGGTAGGATTTCAAGAAAGCCCAATGCTTTGCAGAGGCATCAGTCCTAAATTCAGGTTCCTCTCTGAAGTGAATGGGGAATTTGCACCTGGTGAATGTCTTACCTTAGTACACCCCTCTTCATCCCAGTGCCAAGCTGAAACACCAACACAAACTCGGCGCATGGAGCTAATTTATACATAATGATTTACACCAGCTAAGTTAAAGATCTTCACCCAAGAGACCTCATCAGAAATTTCCCTCAGTTGGATCAATCTGGGGCTAGAAATCTGCCCTTCCCACACATGATCATAGGCAAGACATCTCCCTCACTACTTTTTCTTTTTTTTTTCAACTGCATGCTTTTCTTTGTTCAGAATGTTATTTTTCTTAATTACTGGAGTTCTGTATATCATTTATAAAAGAATTGAAGAGGCCCCAGCTTTCTGTCTTTCTCTCCACACCCAAGGCCTGTTGACCACCACTTCGTAAGTGTAGCAACCAACGCTGTCCTCATCCAGAAGAGTGGATTTATCTTCAGGAAGGGGTCTCTGCAGGGTGTGTTCAAAAAAGTCAAGATGGTGGCCGCAATGTTGCACTCAAAGCTGCACCTGTTTAAGTGCAACACATTTTAAAAGCAGGCAGAGCTCTGGGCATCTAACTTACCTCGTTCAGGTAAGTTTGCTATTCTACTACTGTGATGCATGGAGACCACAATGAAAAATACTCTGCTAACCCCCACCCCTAGCCTTTGCGCTGGTTCAGCCGTGGAAACTAAGAGGAAAACAGGGCTCTTTCCTACAGTCACACAAGATGGGCAGATTTCCTGCTCCAAATCAGCTCAGATGAAGAAGGTTCACAAAAGAGGTGTGCCAAGAGCATGTGGCTCAAAAGCCATACCTGCACGATCCCAGAAGATTATGCCTCTTGCGTGAAGGAGGCGGCAGCAGTGTGCCCATGCTCAGTTGGTGGTGGTCCTCAACAAATTGTGTGTCTACCATGTGAGCCCAAGAAAAGAGGCTGACGTGCGTCAACCAGCACGGATTGTACACCCTGCATACTCCAAAGCGGTTTTTAGGCTTCCAGCCCAAAGCAGAGCATATTGCTAGTTCACAAAGGGGGAACAAACAGCAAACACATGGGACTGCTGAAAGAACAAATTTTGGGAAATGACTGCTTCCCATTCAGATCAGCTGGTGTGAAGCAGCAGAAGAAACAGAAAATGCTTTTTCTGCAGTCTGTTGGCCTGGTTGTCACAAGGTACCACTTGAAGGACGGATGAAGAAAAACCATCTTCTGTTTTCTCTGTGCTTCATGCTGCTGCCTGAACTATTTTCTGCACATCTTCTTGCCATTCTGTAATTGAGTGGGCTAATCCCTATCAGAACGAGACTACAGATTTAATTTACATTTAATTCATTAAATGTATATGCTGCCCAGCTCTTAGGAGATACATGGTGCTTGTGATGTAGAATAAGGGGCTAATTTATAATTGAAGACACTGGAAGAAAGGAAAATGAAAATCTTGTGGATCCTGTAGGCATAACTCAGTTATCTTCCAGGCTCAAGTATCCCATACAGACACATACCCAATGTAGGTAGAACATTGAGAATATAGAACTGAAAATATGAACAAACTAATAATTCAAATATATATATTTTTAAAGTTCTAGTTTACATCTAGCTTCCTCAATGGCTATTTCCTTCTGATTCATCAATCCTCCTTCAGGTTGGAGCATGGTTCTTACCTGATGAGTAAGAATGCTGTCTCCTTGTGATGAAGAGAAAAGAACAAAGCCAGAAGGGACGTAATCTGAGTCACAGGGAAATCTTCCTGCTCCTCATTGCTTACTCAGAGTTTGAGTGTCCAGCCTTGGCAGCTGGCCCCATCTGGAGTGGCTGTTTAGTTTTGATTGATTAGCTCTTCTGTAGCTAGGAGTGTTTTCTCCTTCATCACAGACGGCACTGATTGCAAAACAGATTGTAGGAACACTCTTTTGAATCTAACCATTGAAATAAGACAGATGTCAGTTGAAAGAAATGTTTATAATTGACAAGCTAACTACTGGAGTCAAGGAAAAAGCAATTTCCCCAACTGAGTGGGGTGTTATCAGTAAAAGAAATCTATTAAGATCTAAGATCAGCTACATCCAAAATAATTAAAACATGAAAAAAAAAGAATAAATACATTCATTCAGACTAGAGTTTACTGTAGATGTTGTTTCCTCATTTTCAGAGTCACAAAATATCTGGGTACAATTCTGATGATGGGCCAATATTCTTCTGCCCTTCCTACAAAACCACTATTGCAGACACATACCTGATGTAAGTAGAACAACTCCAGAGAAGAAATCGGTACTTTTGAATGTTGCCTATCTCCAAGAATTGGCTGAATGAGAGAGAACAAGCTGCAATTTCATCCAGACAAGATGAAGTGCTATTGGTAAATAGAAACCAGATGTGGGAAGTGAAGCTGAGTCTGCTTTGAATGGCATTACATTCCCCACTAAAGAGCAGGTCCATAGTCCAAGAGTGCTCCTTGATCCTCAGCTTGATCATTATCCCCAGCTTAGATCTAGCCTGTTGCAATTTGACTCTTGCATTTCACATGGAGCTATCACTGAAAACTGGAAATTACAGTTGGTGGAAAATGTGGCAGGCTGCTACGTGATGCAAGGAATTAAATGATGCTCTGTTGAGAGAGCTGTGCTGGTTGCCAATTGCTTATTAGGCATAATTTAAAGGCACTGATACAGTAAAATCTCAATTTAATAGTCTGAGGGCAAAGGGTGTCCTCCAAACCCAAACTCCTGTTCCACCTAAATGTAATTATGTAATGTAATAATTACAATATTGATCTTTGCATCCATTTACACAAACAACATACATTGCAGCCATTATCAGGTCTGTTTTGGAAACAGCTGATCTTGTCCATTGTTTGGAAATGAATTCTTCTGCATCCAAAGTCCACTGAATGGAGACCTGAACAAATGAGATCTTAACATACTGAACTTTAAAGGACCTGATTAGCTAACGGGGCAGCTATTCCAGTACTGTTCAAGATTGGCAAGAAAAGAAGCCATCGTCGTGCCCCCTGCTGTCAGAGACCCATATTTTTGGCAGATGGGCAGGAGATGGTCTTCTCCTGCCTTGTGCCAGTCTGTGAAATGTAGTTTAAAAAAATTGATCACCAGTTTTAGTATTTATCATTATTTTAAATCTATGTTTTCAAGATTTTATAGCTTTTGTTTCAAATTTTATTAGCCAGCTTTTAAATACTTCTCAGGCAGGTGAGGTTTAAATTAAATAATTAATGTACAGTATTTGGAAATAATTTAATGGATGGCCTGCAAATGAGCATGCTGGCTAGTATTCACCCACCCATGGCATTTGGATAATCCCACATACCTGGCCACGTAGAAGTGAGCATCTCAATGTTCCCAAGAGCTCTGGCCCCCATTTTCCCGACTCCCAGAGATCCTAGAGAAAGAAAGTACAAACTACCATCTTTATGAAAGCTTTGGCAGCCTCAGCTAGATTTCCACAAAGCCAGGAAAGGGAGATTCTTTTTTCACTTTTCTTAGGTAGATCACAGCTTCCTTCTGCTTCATTGAGCCTTTCACCCAAGGATGAAGCAGACTGCTCACCTGCTCACTGAATGGAGGTGCTCCTTCTTCTGGAAATAATTTGATCCCCAAATTGGAGCCTCTCAACATTTTCTCCCCACTCCCGTTAAGAAGAGCTGGCTGGGGTGCTTTATCTACACCAGGAAGTACCTTACCCTGCCAGCAAGGCTCCAACCCAGCCCCTATTTTTGAAACATTTCTGCTTTTCTTTCTCTGACCAATTCCCATGTGATATCTAAATAAACTGTGAAACTCACACCCAGAAGCTCACAAACTGAAAGGCTTCTAGGAAACCTTCAGCAAGAGCTTTTGCAACAGGGAGGTTCTTATTCCCAAATGCAGGTGGGCTCCACTTGCATTTTTTTCTACTTCCCTCCTTTCTGTTGCCATGGCTTGATTGTTTTTCCCACCAAATGCTGCCTAGATTGGTACCTGCAATGAATTAATTAATTAATTAGGCTTGTATGCTGCCCATCTCCCCCACGGGTGACTCTGGGCGGCTCACAATAAAAACGAAG